CAGGAGGATCACTTGAGCCCAGGAGTTTGAGGTTGCTGTGAGCTACGCTGACGCCATGACACTCACTCTAGCCTGGGCAACAAAGTGAGACTTTGTCTCAAAAAAAATAAATAAATAAATAATGTGGCTTAAGCTAGGCTCCTTGGCACAGAGAATGTGTATCTAGATTGTTTGACCAAAGATTTGGAGCCAAGCCTGTGGTCAGGTAAGTCCAAAAGAGACTGGCCCACAATGGACTCATTCCACTGCCTCTGATGTCATTAGGAACCAGCTTAAGTGAACCAGCCCAACAAGTGGTGGCTTTGACCAGGTGGACCCATGTATTAATTGTACATCTTTGCATCAGACCTTACATTAGACAAACATGCTTGGCTTGGCACTGCCAGCTACAAGTCTAAACATAATAAAAGGCTTATTCTCAAGTCTTAGCTCAGGATAATTAAAGCACATAGTGCACATTCAACATTTATCTTTCTCCACCAAGTTGGCTCTGATCACAGCTTCCTGACCCAGGCTCAAGGGACAGGTCTCAGGGATCAAGGGGTGTGAGCTGCTGGCTACAGCTAGAATCTATCCCTGAAAAGCCTTGTTAGCCCACACCATGAGGTTTAGTGGTGATTTTTCTTACTGTTATATCTTATTAATGAAGAGCTCGAACTTGAGGTTTTTTCTCTCTTCCACTTGGTTACAATGCATTTTCACGAAGGAGTTTATGGTACTTCTCAAATGAAGAAGGCAGCGTGTACATTCTTCTATCAGTCCTGGCTATCATCATTATTGCTGCAGTTATTGAAATATCCAAATACAAGGGAGAAACATATTTTTCCCCTTTAAATTTCAACCTGTCACAGAACATAGTCAAGCCATCACACTGCACATGGTGATGATTTTAAGGAAGAGATGTAAACACAATTCTGTTTTACCAAAGTATATGATCATTTCGACTGTATTTTAACTTGTTTCACTTTCCCAGCCTTTCTCCTCCTTCCCAAATAGCAAATGTTTTGCACTGAGCCACATCAATGAACTACAGAAGCCAACATGTTTGATAAAGTGAAGTTTGCTTATTGTTTTAAACAAAACTGGAATAGTCACTTCATAATTCATCTTTCTTATATGGTAAGATTCTTTAGAATATCTCTTAAAGTTAAATAACACTTCAGTGGGCTTTGCACCTGTGGAGACATGTTCTAAGTGAGTAATTCAGGCTGTTCCCAAGGTTGCCCCACCATCAGTTCACCCTGGTAAGCAGCACATGAGTGTATGGACTCTATTGCCAGTTATTGGTGTGCAAACTCTGTGAAATAATTGAAAGAGGTTTATTCTGAGCTAAGTTTGAGGACCATGGCCTGGAGCCATGCCCAAGAAGCCTTGAGCTAGTGGACTCACTATGGTTGGGTCATACATTTCAGGGAGAGAGGAATTACATGTAAAGTCATAAATCAATACATAGAAGGCATGCATTGGTTTGGCCTGAAACGGTGGGACATCTCAAAGCAGGGGCTTACAGGTTACAGGAGGGTTTAAAGACTCTTTGATTTGTAATTGGTTAAAGAAATGAAACTTTGTGTAATGGCTTGGATTGTTTTTTCCAGAATATTACAAAGGTACAAATGTTTCAGTTACATGAATTGCTTTTGTACAGTCTGAGTAAAAGTTATAGATGTGCCCATCACCTGTATAGTGTGCATTGTACCCATTAGGTATGAATTTACCCATCTCCTCCATCCTCCCACCTGCTAGATTTCTGTTATATTTTACTACTATATGTACACATGAGTGTTGATCTGTACGTTTCAATTTAGTAGTGAGTAAATATGGTTTCTGTTTATCCATTCTTGTGATACTTCACTTAAAAGGTGGCTCTCCTTGGCCAGGCGCGCTCACGCTTGTAATCCTAGCACTCTGGGAGGCTGAGGCGGGTGGATTGCTCAAGGTCAGGAGTTCAAAACCAGCCTGAGCGAGACCCTGTCTCTACTATAAAAAATAGAAAGAAATTAATTGGCCAACTAATATATATACATAAAAATTAGCCGGGCATGGTGGCACGTGCCTGTTGTCCCAGCCACTCGGGAGGCTGAGGCAGTAGGACTGCTTAAGCCCAGGAGTTTGAGGTTGCCGTGACCACGGCACTCACTCTAGCCTGAGCAACAAAGGGAGACTCTGTCTCAAAAAAAAAAAAAAAAAAGGTGGCTCTCCAGGTCCATTCAGGTTGTTACAAAAGGTATGTAGAAGACTCCAAAGGCAATCATAGCAACAATAGATAAATGGGACCTGATTAAACTTAAAAGGCTTGGAATGTTTTAAGTCAGTTAATTGGAGACAAGTCAATGGCCATATACCCAGACTCAAATGAATTTGTTATATAAATTGAGGACCTTCAAGTTTGTCTGACATAATGTTAGGCCAGTGAATGAGTTACAAAGGTTATCTATAAGAATGGAGGGGGCAATGATGAGGTATGTCTGGCCTCTCTTCTCATGGCCAGAAACTCAGTTTTAGGGTATCCCCTTGGCCAAGAGAGGGCCCATCCAGTCAGCTGGGGGGAGCTTAAAATTTTATTTTAGTTCATGTTGGCAAACAACAATGTTCTAGTCAATTGAGGAACTATGTCTCAAGAAATGAATGGGTAAATCAAGACTCAGACTAGATTTTACCGGTAAATGCCACATTCCAGGGGCACCCTATATCCCCCCACCCCTGCTCAATGCATTTAGCCTCTGCATGCATAAGTACGTGGGGTAGGAGCCCCACAGAAACTGAAAATGGCCGGATTACTCAACCTGAGTTAAGAAGGAACAGAGAGGGCAGCAGAGGCTATGCCAAAAAGCCAGGTTTAAATCCCCAATCCTACTATTCTGAAGGCCTGGCCTTGGCCTATTGGGCAGAAGCAGAAGCAACTATGGCTCTCTGTCACCAAGGAAGCATTGGGCACCCTCTTGCCCCTCCTTCGGACCTGCAGGGGCTACAGCGGGCAGGCCAGGAGCCTTTGATGCTACAGCCTTTTACCCACATTTAAATGCTTTATATTTAAATCATCTGCTTTCACCGCAGGTAATTGCGGGCTGTCTAGCCCAGGGCAGCCTTCAAATTGGAGAGCCAGCTGTGAGCAGGCAGCTCTAGAGCTGGAGCTAATGCATGGGTCCAGCAACTGCGCAGTGCAATAGTAGTGGCCCTAGAGCAGGGATTGCTCGGAGGAGAGGAGTAGAAAGGATGCAAGGGAGAAGGTAGGCACTTCCGCTGAAGGCTAGGCTCCCGCTAGGCTCCGGACACCTGGGAATTTCGCACTCCTTAGTTCCCAGGGGAGTTGCTCAATTCCTATCTGGGAATGCAGGAGCATTGAGTGACAAGAAGCTGCGGAAGCCTAAGTATCCTAGACCCTGTAGGCAAAGCCCAGTGGTGCAACAATGCACGGACACTACTGCCCCCCAAATCATCTGCTTCCACCGGGGGTAACTGTGAGCAGCTGTCTAGCCCGGGGCAGCCCTCAAATTGCAAAGTTCACAGGGAAAGAGGCGGGGCGGCTGAGAGCTGGAGCCACCACTTCTGTCCCGGTACTCAACGGTCAGGTGGGGGGTGGGGAAGCCAGTCCCCAACAATGAGCCGGAAACTTAACTCCTTCCTCCCTGGGGAGGGGCGGAAGGGGGTGGGGTGCCTGTAACTGAGGTGGTCTTCCTGAGCTGTAGGACTCCCGCTGAACTTGCAGGCTCAGGAATTTTCCTTTCCTCCCCTTCTCCTTACTTCCATCAGGCCTGGCCCCGGCTGTGCCACATGTTTAATAATCTACAGCTTGATTTCTCCGGTCAGAAAAGGAGAGAAAGATTTCTTCTTGTAAGTCTACACAAGATGGGACTGAATGTAGTGGTTGTGGGCAGGTACCGCTTCCTCATTCAGGGGCAAGATATTCCTAAATAGATTTCCCCCCTCCAACAACAACGACGAAAACGCCCATGGTAGGCTCCAGAATAGCTTTCGGCTGAGAAGTACTTTTTCAGCACTTCAGCCCAGTCACAACTTTTGTGGGTGACGTGAGGAAAACCTTAAATGCTTGTTTATTACAAACGTTTCCTCCGAAGTCCTTAGGTCGCACACATGGCGAGGGGGTGGCTGCAAGAACCGAGAGAAACCCCTGAAACACGATTATAACACACTTTCTTTGACAGAGTCTCCTTGCCAAAACATTTTTCTTAAACGTCTGATAGTGATACATCAAACTGGTTACTCCATCCCCGGGCCCAAAGAGGCACGGCGAGCCACTCAGGGCTGGCTGCCCCTACTCTCCCTGTCTGGGGTTCCTTAACAAGGAATCTGGAGCGCAACTTGGCGCGGGTCAGTTGCAACAGTGAAGAGAGAGGGTCACTCAATCTGGGAAACCCGCTCAAGGGGCAGCGGGCATCCTTGCGGGAAGAGAAGAGGCGGCGTCTCAGGGTCCGCGTGGCGGGTACCTTCAGGCTCTCATCTCAGGGCAGAAAGACAGAGATGGCCCTAAATCGCCAGCGCGCTCCCCCGTCTAGGGGTCCGTGGGAACCCCCAGGCGTGGGGAGCGCATTGCCGGGGAACCCCTCGCTGCTCCGCCCAGGAGCCGCCTTGAGCCCTGTGCCCGCGCAGGTTGCTCCCACGGCCGCGGGCAGAAATGAGAGGGACCAGAAGCGGCCAGCGGGAAATTGTCTTCCAGGCAGGCTGCAGAGCCCGCGCGCCTGCCGCAGAGAGCACGACATCCCGCCGCGGAAACACAACGCACCGGCTCACCGGCGTCTGACAGACGGTGCACGCTCCTCCCACGCGAAGAGCCCCTGGCCTTGGAAGCTCTGGTCCCTAAACTTTCTGAGAGGACTGAAGCGAGAGAAAGCAAACTGGCAGATTTCCAGGCACGGGGACCAGGGCTGCAGGAGAACTAGAGCCTCCGTTGGCCGCGGCCTGGCCTGATGCCTCCTGAGAGCGCATCGCCTTCTCCCCCGGCCCTCCCCACCCAACTCTTCAGTTCTGCGAGGGGAAATTACCTGAGTCTCGCAAAACAGCCAGCAAAACGTCCAGGTCGTCTCAGGCGTGTAGTTCCATGTCCAGGGCGAGATGGCGAGCCGGGTTCCGGAGAGCGCGGGCTCGGACTTCCCGGGCGGTCGGACAGGCTACCTCAAGACGAGCGGGGCTGGAGAAAGCGTGAGGAAGACCTTGTGTCCCCAAGCAACGGACAGAACAGCCCCGCCTGTTTTCTCCACTCCCTGTTCTTAGCCAAAGAGGATGCCAGGAAACTTCCCCTTCCCGACCAGGGAAGATTCCTAGAGTTCAGCGGAGCTTCTGAGGACTTTTGGGGGAAGCTGGAGAGGGAGAGGTTACGGAAGGTTCCTAAAAATCACTCAGCTCCTTAGTGAGAATGGCAGGTGCCGCTTCTTGCCTCAGTGACTAGATTTTCCTAAGTCGCCTGCCTCCCAGACTCTTCTTTCTGCGCGACTTCGTTTCAGAGCAGCCTTTTTCCAGCTGCACCTTCCCTCGGCCAGGCGGTGCACACCGGGGCGCGGGCGCCTCAGCCTGTGGCCCTCGCGACCCTCGTGAGGCACACACACTCCAGAAGGCAGCAGACCCACCGGCTGCCCTCTCCCCCTGACAGAAGCGCAGGCGGCAGGTGCAAACTCTGCCTGTCCACCCCGCTCCCGCCTGTTCGCGGCTTCAGCCTTTCAAGGGAACCCTCCAGCCAGTGCGCAAAAAGCCCACACACGTCTCCCCTAGCTCCGAAGAGGGAGGGGCGCCCGGGAAGTGAGCTCCAGGCTCGCCTCACATCCTGCCACCGCTGCTGCCGCCTCCAAAATATGCCTGGAGTGGGGGTGGGAGGGTAGTGGAAGTCACCAAGAGCTGCGTTTTCGTCGCTAACAGTTTGGTGCCTCCTAGCTGACTGATTGCACCGGGGAGGAGGTGGGAACTAGAGAGAACTGCTCTGGCGCGTCACAAAAAAAGGGCTGCTTCTGCTCCTCCTCCTCTTCCACACCCCTTTGGATTTGGGAGCGCGGGGAGGGGAGGGAGAGTGAGGAGAGTGGAAAAGGCTGCCAACCCCAAAATCCCCCATCCCCTGGTTAGGAAAAAAATGCGCTTCTCGCTTACCTTTCCCTGGAGAAGGAAAGCGCGTCCCGGCAGCGCCGTCTAGCGTCCGTACCGAGTAGGACGGCACACAGGATTCGGGCGCGCGCTCAACAGAGTGCAGGTGTAGAAAGCCACTAAAGCAAAGTTTTTCAGCTCTCTGGTCCCCAGTTGCAGCCACTGAACAGGTATCTAGTTCAGCCAGGAGTTCACCTGCTTGGTTCCCCGCAGGCTGGAATTTATTTTTAAAGTCACAGGCCACCTAGTTTTACTTAGAATGCGAGCTCTTCCCAGTAGCGAAGAAAACTCGTCTTTTCCATCCCTTTCACGTAAGAGATCCTTAAGTCTCAGGGTTCTCCAGCCCCGCCAATCAGAGCAAGCAGGTAGGGTCCCGGGACTCACGGCTGGACTCCGAGTTGGAACCGGGCTGCGATTACGTTGTCACACGCCGGAGGCTCGCCAACCTGCACCTGACCACCTGCTCTCCAACGTCAAGCAGTCCAGGAACCCCTTTTTCTAAGCGAGACAGCGGAGAGGAACTATGACCCAGGAACCAGCCGGGTTCCTAGATCGCGGCGATGCAGAGTAGCGTTTCCGCGCCAGGTTAGCTCCCGGAGCGTTTTGCTGGGCTCTCGGGCGCCGCGCTGATTAACACACTTTACGGAATTGCTCATTTAACGGGTCAGCTGAGCGCTGTTCTCCAGCATTTGCTGCTGCGCTGGGGTCCGGTTAATTTGTCTTTCTCTGAGCTTTCTCCAGCTGTTCTCCCGACGCTGCTCCATCGTTCTGCATTAGCCACAAAGAGCGAGCGAGAGACGGATACAGGATCCAAGGGGGAACTACTGAGTGTGGAGCTCAGGAAATTCCACCCCAAAATATGACGCCTTGGAATAAAAAGTATTTTGAATGAAACCCAGGCAGATTATAAAAAGCATTGGAAGGGGCTTTCCCTCTATCTGCATAAATAAGACTGACCAATCAAAAGAACAATGAACTTTGCTTGCTCTCGCTGTTATTTAAATATATTGCCGGAAGAAAGATCAAGAATGCAACTAGACCGGACCCAGACCATTTTAAACACAATACCTGTCTCTTGGGTTAATTTACAAGTCAATGTTTCCCTCATCTTTTAGCCTCCGTAAGCAACCATTTATTGCCCTTAAGCAGAATTACCTATATTTCTCATCTCTCCATCTCCTCCAAAAAGACACTAATATAAAAATATCTGGATCCCATTGGGATATTGGGTAAATCACTCTGTGATTCTCCCCCCGCCCATGATAAATAAATCTCTCTCGTATTAATCTGCCTTAATTGTGAGTTAAGCTTCCAGCGAACTTTCGGGAGAAAGGGCGAGTTTCCCAGCACCCCTACAAGTGCTTAGTACGTGAGGCGCAGCGCAGACTGGCGCTTTTGCAGTCCACCGCCTTGGTCGCTTGGCCTCGGTCCACCGTCCACCCAGCTTGTATGGCCGGAGCCAGTGCGTAATTCAAATTACTCTCCCTCTCTCACCTCTCACGTCGAATTTATGCACTCTTTTTCCCTAAGGATCACTCCATTCATCAAATCCCGCAAAACCCCACCCCCATCCTAGAAGATCGCAGTTAAGTCGGGAGCTCCAGAGAGGTCGGGTGTGAAAGGAAAGGTCCTTTTGACAAGGAACCAGTATCCTTACCCTTCCTGGGTTTTGTTGTTTATATACCAAGGAGGGTGGGGATAGGCTGTATTTTTGAAACCGAGAAAATGCCCAGCAGTTTCTGCTTCTGTTTTTTAACAGCTCTTCGTTTTCATATAAAAGCCCATTCTGCCGATGGGGGGAGGGCTGGGCTAGCCAGCCAATTCTGCCTTTCTCCTTGCTTTAAAGCTCAGGCAAATTTCCCTCGGCCAGCGGGCTAGCCCTTTGCAACCCACATCACCTCTTCCAGCCAACCCCCGCCGCGCCTACATTACAGTTAGTGGCTCTCAAAGCCAATTTCCACCAGCTTCCAACCAGCTGGGGACTGCAGCAACGCGGGGTGTGCCTCTTGGTGGAGGAACACCATCTCTCCTAGTCTTACTTTTGTGGCTGGGTTCTAGGCGCATCTAGTCTGGACTTTAGCAAAGCATCAGGCTCTGAGCCTTAGCTGAGCAGCAGGCCGTCATGGGTCAGGCCATTTGGCCAAACCCTGCGATCCCTTATTTACATTAGGATTAGGATGCTAAAGAGCCAGCAGGAAGGGTGAGGGGAACTCATTCAGGATCTTAGCCAATAATATCCCTAAACTAATCATCAAGTAAACAATATGTTTAAAACAAAACATAAAACAAAAACAAAAACCTCTTCCTGTCCTGCTGGTTTCTCCTTTTACCATCTTATGTCCAATTTGATCCAACCTCACTTTAACACCCAGTACCTTTATGTACCAAGTTCTATACCTTCTACCCTATTAAAACTTACTCTCCTATGTATCTACCATTTTTTCAGTAATCCCTCTGCTGACAGTGGTTGGTGTTCCAGTCTTATGAATGCCTAACTAGGCTAGCTGGCGTTACTTTCCTGGGCTACATCACCCTTCACTAGAGACTTAAAGAAGACTTTCCAGAGCTGGAAATTTAAGGCACCATGGTAGATCAGTGGCTTTTCTCTGAATGGAGGAGGGACTCTTGGTACCCATCAAAAAGGGCTGCTTATTTCACCCATCCTACTAGACTGGTTTATGGTTAAATAAAGGAGTTGAGGAAAGGAAGAATAAAGAATCAAAAATATAAGATGCCAAGAGAAGGAACCAGTGACCTTTCAGAAAAGATTGGGTGAGACTTTATGGTCTAGCACTTTGTTCCTCAAAGTGTTATCCGTGGACCAAGCAGCGCTAAGGCCTCCCGGGTGAGCTTGTTAGAAATGCAGAATGTCAGACCCTACCCCAGACCAAAGCGAATCACAATCTGCAGTTTAACAAGATCCCCCAGGTAATTTTGTATGCACATTAACATTTGAAAAACATTGTCTAGTAAATCTTTCAATTCTGCCTAACCCAGGAAAGGAAAAGGGGCAGTGAATGCAATTACTCAAGTAGGTAATAATGAGATCTTGTCATATGATAAGCACCTACTATCAAGGTCAGGGTCATATCTGTTTAGACCAATTACACCCAATCTATTTCATAACCAAGGACTATCATCAAATTGTGGCTAGTGCCCCTACATACATATGGCCTTTTTGCAAAGATGCCCCTGATTAGATAAAAGAATTACTACTGCCGAAGAAACACATTGATTCCCATGGCCCACTAGGATAGGGTCAGTATCATCATCTTCCTAATAATATTGAGAACAGAACTTTACAGAGTTTGTTAAATCTTGGGCACTCAATATATTTTTATGATTAATGGTGATAAGAGCTGAAAACCATTTAGTGAGGCCAAAGTCTTTAAAAAGTTAGCAATTGGGATAAGTAACTTTGCAAAGAAAAAAAAAAAGCGAAACTTTATTGTTTCTGCCCAAGGCAAATTTTGAAGTTGCATCTTAAGATAGTAAGGGAAGAGACTAGAGCAAAAAGTTATTATGTGTCTACTACATGTCAGGTGCCTTACATACTTGATTTTATTTCATCCATGTTCCTAAACCAGGCTGATAGCCAGAATTACTGTTTTAAAATCATCTTAAAGATTCCTGGGACCGTTTCCCAGATCTGTTAAATCAGAATCTCAAAGAGTGGACCTTCTCAGGTAGGGAACACCTTTCTAAGCAAAACTCAAAATGTAGAAACCATAAAGAATAATATTGATAAATTTTACTATATATAAATTAAACGTTTCTGCAAAAAAAAAATAAATAACACCATAAGCAAAGCCAGAAGATAAACTATAAACTGGGAGCAAAGTTGAAATACCTCAAAGAGAAAATTTATAAATATATAAAGGGCTCTAATAAATCAGTTGGGAAAAAGTCAACCCAACAAAAAATAGGCAAAGGACATGAATACAAACTACACATTTAAAAAATGCAAATGGGCATATATAAATTGAGAAATAACTGCAACCTAAACCATAATGGCAAAGTATAAATGTTTGATAGTATAGTGTTGGCAAGTATGCAAAGAAATAGGCCCTCTCATTCACAGCTGAAGTGTAAACTAATGCAAACACTTTGGAGAGCAATGTGACAACATCTATTGAAACTATAGGGGGCCAGGTACCACTGTGGCTCACACCTGTAATCCTAGCACTCTGGGAGGCCAAGCTGGGAGGATCACTTGAAGTCAGGTGTTTGAGGTTGCAGAGAGCCATGATGAGGCCACTGCACTCTACCCAGGACAACAGAGCAAGACTCTGTCTCAAAAAAAAAAAAAAAGAAAAGAAATTATAGGTATATACATACTGTGAACTAAAATAAAATGTTAAGGCTCACACTCCCACCCATACACACCGGTTGACCCAATGGACTCCCTTGTGGCCAAAATAATATCCTAAAACTAAATTGTCTGCCAGGAGGAAGGAGGTCAGACAAGCCTCATCATGCCCCCCTCCCTTCTTGAATACATCTTTTGTAACCCATTAACAGGCCTAAGGGTATGCAAGACAAACCTGCAGGTCCTCAATTTACACAACAAATATATGTCCCTGGGGAGAGGGTGGTACTGGACTGAGATAGAAGGGAGATATCTCACGGAGTACATTTTATACTCTTTCTGTCCTTTTTGTGTTTTTCAAACCATGTAAATATATTACCTCTGGAAAAATAATTAAAATTAATTTTAAAATATAATTTGTTCATTTTTAAATAAGCTCCTCAGGTGCTGGATGAATACACAAGAAACTGGCAATAGTGGTTGTGTTTTGTAA